TCCCTACTACTGTCTGTAAGTTTTATCAGTTCACCTTTCGCTCAATCTCCACCCCCCCTCTATCTGTCTGTCTGTCTGTCTGTCTGTCTGTCTGTTTGTCTGTCTGTCTGTCTGTCTGTATGTCTGTCTGTCTGTCTGTCTGTCTGTCTGTCTGTCTGTCTGTCTGTATCTCTCTCTTTCCCCCTCTCTCCTTCTCTCTCTCCCTCTCTCTTGTATTTGTCCCCACCCCCCCTCCCCTTCTCTCTTTTCAGTCTCTCTTCTTACTATGAACAACATCTGTAAGATTCTATCTGACATCCTATTTATACAGCTTTTAAATTATGTTCTACTCTCTGTGTTAATAGATCTATTATCCACGTCCAGCATATAGTACACACGAAAAGGAACGCCTGTCTGTCTGTCTGTCTGTCTGCCTGTCTGTCTATTGCTTTTACTTTGAACCCTTCTTTTCACGGGCAGAAGAAAAGCGAAGAGAATTATTTAAGAAAAGTTACAGTAGAGAAAGGGAGAGATATGATAATAGAAGAGAGCGAATAAGGGAGAGATAGCAAAAGGAAATAAACAGAGATTGCAAGAAAAAGAAAAAGAGAAACACAAATAGAGAGCTGGTGAGCAAGCGAGAGAGAGAGAGAGAGAGAGAGAGAGAGAGAGAGAGAGAGAGAGAGAGACAGAGAGAGAGAGAGAGAGAGAGAGAGAAGGGGGGGGGGGGGGCTCTCGTGGCCTAAAGGTTAAGGTGTTGGCCTCTCATTCAAAGGTCCCGGGTTCGAATCCGGGTAGCGACCGAAAAATTTTCTTCTCTAAAATTGTCTCCTTTCCCCTCCTTTCCTGCTCTCTAGCAATGTTCTGTTGTCTGCTTTCATTTCCGCTCTCTGCCCCCACCCCCTCACCTCCTTTGCCCCCTCCTTTGGGCTCCTGACTCTTTCTACAGCCTTTCTACTGCTACTCCTTGGCTCCTCCTTACTGCTGTCTTTCTGCCACACCCCTGATCCTCTGGTACGAAAGATCAACACCTAGCCTTCTCGGACAAGGGCGAAAAATCTCGAAGGGCCCGTGTGCAAGTTGCGCACGCTAAAAATCCCTTGGTGGTCTAAAATCGGTAAGAGTAGGCTTCGGCTGCCACCCGGCAAAATTCAAAATTTCCAACCAACTGAAAATATTAGGTGTGTCTCGCCCACTCATATGACCTTATGCAGTTGCGAGCGCCGTAAAACACTTTACTAAAATAAACTAACAAAAAGAGAGAGAGAGAGAGGGGGGGGCGAGAGAGAGCGAGAGAGAGAGCGAGAGAGAGAGCGAGAGAGAGAGAGAGAGAGAGAGAGAGAGAGAGAGAGAGAGAAAGAAAGAGAGAGAGAGAGAGAGATC